CCACTTATCACCATGCCACAGTAACACTCCAACAACACAGGGTACAACCCTACAATCCCAGTACACCAGAGCTTGATGATAAACCTAACTTCAGCTAAGCAAAATCAATCAAGGATGATTTCCTGCAGAGAATATACCATAATTATCCAATTTTTCCCTTTGAGAAACACTTCCTTAAAGGTATAAATAAAGGAAGCATTTGGGAGTTTGTTTCAAAAAAAAAAAAAAAAAAAAACAGATTCAGTCCAAACGAAAAATGGAAACTTTTCATGGATAAGCCACTAAAACTCTTCCTGGACATGTGAAAATTAGGGCAAACAAAAAAAGCTGTAATACCTCATAAATATATTAAATAATTTTTTTTTTTGACACACTCTGTAACCCAGGTTGCAGTGCAGTGGCACGATCTCAGCTCACTGCAACCTCCATTTCCTAGGTTCAAGCAATTCTCATGCCTCAGCCTCCCGAGTAGCTGGGATTACAGGCACCCGCCACCACGCACGGCTAAGTTTCATAATTTTAGTAGAGACGGGGTTTCTCTATGTTGGTCAGGCTGGTTTCGAACTCCCGACCTCAGGTGATCCACCCACCTCAGCCTCCCAAAGTGCTGGGATTGCAGGTGTGAGCCACCGTGCCTGGCCAACTCTTTTTATTTAAAGTTAACTTCTACAGAAAGGTTTAATATAGGACCTGCTATAAACAAAAAGGCTGAATGGAACCCAGGACATGAGTGACCGGAGAGGGGACGCCCAGGATACTCAGGGACAGTCCAACAAGGAGACCCAGGAGACGTGGGCGCCACTGAGAGGGGATGCCCAGGACACGAAGGGGCAGTCCAACCAGGGGATGTGGGCACCACAGAGAAAGGACACCTGGGACACTCAGGGACAGTCCAACCAGGGGATGTGGGCACCACAGAGAAAGGACACCCGGGACACTCAGGGACAGTCCAACCAGGAGACGTGGGCACCACAGAGAGGGGACACCTAGAACCTTAGGGGACAGTTCAACCACGAGACACGGGTGCCACACACAGGGGATGCTGAGGACATTCAGGGGACACTGGGAAGGCACAAGGCCACCAGCTCAGAATGTGAAAAGTAAGTATATCACAAAACCTATCCAGTGGGGTTTCTTAATGGTTGTTAACATTACTGATGCTGATAAAGTTAAAAACCCTCAAGACAAGAGGTCTCTCATGGAGATCACAGGATTTTTCTTTGGTCTCTCTAGTTTTCAGGAAGAAAAAAAAAACAGCCATTTTCTTAAATGCACAGAATGCTACTACTTTGGAGCACTTAAAACTCAGCTAATATGGACTGTTTACCCTCAAGTTTTCTATCCATGCTGTCTCCCTCCATAGAGTTTCAAATTGTTCAACAACGATTTACGGCTTCCCTGCCCCGGTGCTGTCGGTCCCCACTTGCCACATGTAAACCACATGCTTCTGCCAAGGCCTTTTACAGACCAACTTGACCAGCCCTCAGACTCTGCCCTACGGAGCAGCCCAGCAATCCATGCTTAAAATCAACTCTTCAAGTATGGAACCGATGGGCAAAGTTCCCCAGTACTCCCATCAGAACAAATCCCAACCTGGGGACAGGGCGAGACATCAGGAGAGCTAGGCAGCAAAGCCATCAGCATGAGTCAGCCCACACAGCGGATGAGAACTGGAGCCTGCGGTCTTCAGCATCTGCACGCACGTGTCCTGGGCCGGCATCCTTCGTGCACACGGTGAGCAAACAGGAGATGAGGGGCTGCCTAGCACCAACTCCCCAGGGCCTCTGTCCCTCGATTTACGCGTGATTCACATCAACTAAATCATCTAGAACCTTTTCCTAACAAAACTCTTTGGAGAACTGTACAGTAAGAACCCTGAACAATGTTTAAATCCCTTTGAATTGCCTCCCAAACAAAACAGATCAAACTAATTTAACTCCCCTTCCCCTCAATGCAGGGCTTTAAGGGAATTCTTTTCCCCACTCTCATCTCATCCTGAAATCCAAGGAGAAGTAAACCTGGGCTGAAATCACCTCCATGGTGCACCCTCAGAGGTGGTGGAGCCAAAGCGTCACTTGCAGGGAGGACACTCATGGCCCAGATGGAAAGCAAACCCCACCACTGTGCCATCTTGTCCGACCCACACTCCAAGTGGGTGTGCGGGCTTCCCGCTCTGTAAGCCAAACAGCAGAAACCCTGGACCTGACCAGGCTCACTGCTCCTGCCACATATAACCTCCGACAGCCGGGCAGACTCCAGCGAGAAAGTGCCCCTGGCATCTGCAGCCACCTGTGGACAGTGGGCTTCTCCCCTTGCTTTCCAACCCAGCCTCATCTTTTAGAAAACACTCATCAGAGGTTAAAGTTAAATATTGATTTGAATTAATTAATTACACATTAAGAAATGTTCAAAGGAAGTTATTTTGGGCCAGGTTTCATGGTGGCTCACACCTGTAATCCTAGCACTTTACTAGGCTGAGGCAGGAAGATTACTTGAGCCCAGGAGTTCAAGACCAGCCAGGGCAACACAGCAAGACCCCATCTCTATTAAAAAAAGAAAATTCAGTCAAGCACAGTGGTTCAACCGTAGTCCTAGCTACTCAGGAGGCTAAGATGGGAGGATCACTGGAGCCCAGGAGGTCAAGACTGCAGTGAGCTGTGATAACACCACTGCACTCCAGCCCAGGTGACACAGCAAGACTCCATCTCTATTAAAAAATAAACAGATGAAAGCGTCACCAGATGCTACTATTTCTGTTTCTAACCTGTTTCTAAATCCATTCTTCCTTCCCGTGCCACCGCCATAAATCCATTCTGGACCTTCAAGTTGACCACAAGCTCTGTGCAAAGCAGCAAAGGCACCATCCAGCCTGAGTCCCCACACGACAAAGACACAGCGGCCCAACCCTGTGACATTCACCTACATGGACCCAGTGGTATAGCGCTGACATCCACGTCCTCATCCTGTTTCCTACATGACACTGAGAAAGAAAAGAAACTAATCTGAGGAATGTGAGCTCCTTTAAACGTTTCGATCCAGAGTCACTGAAATGTGACAGTGGTCATGTCTCACTCCCCGCCACACCCGGAGCTAAGGATGTCCCGCTCCCCCCCTACACCCGGAGCTAAGGACGTCCCGCTCCCCCCCCCAACACCCGGAGCTCCCAACACCCGGGAGCTAAGGACGTCCCCCCCCCCCCCCCCCCCCCCCCCCCCCGGCGACACCCGGAGCTAAGGACGTCCCGCTCCCACCCACACCCGGAGCTAAATAAGCCGCCTGCTTTATGACCTCTTGACTCAGCATCACCACCAACAGTCATATTACTATTATTCTTATTAGAGAAAGGGTCTCATTCTGCCACCTAGGCTGGAGTGCAGTGGTGCTATCATAGCTCACCACAGCCTCGACCTCCTGTGCTCAAGCAATCCTCCCACCTCAGCCTCCTGAGCAGCTGGGGCCACAGAATAGCACCATAATGCCCAGGCTTTTTTTTTTCTTCAAAGATAGGGTCTTGCTATGTTGCCCAAGCTGGCCTTGAACTCTTATCCTCAAACAGTCCTCCCACTTCAGCCTCCCAAAGTACCAGGATTACAGACATGAGCCGCCACACCTGGCCAATAGCCATAAATTAACCTACCAATGTCATACACTGGACACCAGAATTCATAACCTACAGTTCAGTGATGTATAACCAATCAATAATCAATAATCAATGTCACTTCTGTAAAACAATGGGAATTCTTGACAAAGTGTTTTGTAATCCTCCCCTCTGCTGATTTGCCCTTTTCTCTTTAAACACTCAAGCCTCTCCTCTGTTCTCTGGAGCACCTGCCAGTGTTTCCCAGGCCATGGCCCTGATAGTCTCTATAATTAATTTTGCCTGAATTTTCTTTACGTTAATGACACCAACGTGAATTCTCAGAATTACAGACTGGAATGAGCAGGGCCACTAATGGCCAGAGCAGTGTGCTTCACTAACCCTGTATGGCAACACACCAAACTAGGCACACGCTAAAAGACCCAGAGTGCAAGGCTGGCTCCCACCTTTAGGACTGAGACGTAATTTACCTTTTGCTGTCCTCGTTTTTTTCAAAATTCTTTACACTATAATTTTTAAGTTATCAAATTACTTAGGGCCAAATTATGAAACGCAGCCTATCCAGGTCTTCATTCTATTACCTGACTGTGTAACTGACGCTCCCTGGTAGGAAAAGTGCTCCCAAGAAAACAGAAACTAAGAAAACTAGGATGATCAGTTTCCATTGCTGAATTCAAGGTTATTCCCCACAGTCACCGTAATTCACTCACCTAGGCCCTGGCTGGTGACCATGCAGGGAGCACCCGTGTTTTCGGTGTGCATGTATGTGCAGATTCAAGTCCCATCTTCGAGCTGCTACATCAAAGCGGCAGATGCCTAAAACGCGGACTGCGCTGAGTCTACTTTGTAGACAGAGCTGACCTCAGGCTGATTCCTTTCTAGACTCGGCTGACAGATGAGGAGTGTGGGTAGGGGTGCCAGACGTTGGAGTGGCGAACAGATTTCATTCTGTAACTGCAGGCAGGACAGGAAACAGCTGAGCTCCATTTCTGTTTGCACTGAGGTGAAGGAGTGTTTTAGGGGAGAACCCAGACTAGGGGAGCTCAAGTGAAAAATTACAAAGGCTGGTCAGTGTAACTGAGATTAGGCTTGCTGTGTCTGCTAGCTGATATATTTACAGCAGTTAGGATTCTACCTTCCCAGAGAGACCGGAACAGAGGCCCTCCTGTCCTTTCTGCTCTTTTCAAAGACACTCCTGAATTGCAGATTTAGAGACATCTCAAAGGGACAGAGAAGGATTCATAATTTAAGCCCTTCTAAACTCTCTTTAAAAAGGATGTCAGGGGCTTATCCTCGGGTGTTGGCTAAAACAGTAAATTATTCTGACAGCCCTGAGCTCTTCCAGACAACCCTGAGCTGGGCTGTCCCAGAGTTGGCCTTAGGCTGCTAGGAGCCTTGTTAAACTTTCGTCAAGAATCAGCACAGGCCTTTGAATGGAGAGTTCACGCCAGAGTTTCTGCGGTTCTCAGGAGGAACCCCACAAGCGGATCAGTGAGGACCAGCCTGGAAATCCCACCCTATCTACTCTAAAACATTCAGCCTTTCTAAAAACAGAATGAAACGGCATTGCACTGTACCTAAACAGGTCACATCACTAGCACATATCTCACATCAAAATTAAAAGGGCAGAAACTTAATTTAAACTAAGAATAACCTAAAACACAAACATACATGTTTATATTTTTCAAGCTATGATTAATAAATTTCATAACAATAAACTCACACCTTACCTGTCAATTGTTTGGTATGTAACAAAAAAACTTAGAAATTTCTAAAATTTTCATTGACCATAAAAATTAATAGTCATATACATTGTAAGCAAGATAAATTAAAGAATTTTTAAAGAGCTAATATTAAAGAAAATTGTCACCATGCAGGCTGGTATAAAGCCTGCAAAGACATCATTAAGTTTTTTTCGATAGCTACGACATACTGAAACTTGGTATGATCTCAGTACAAATAAAGAACATAAGACTATTTATATTCATGATATCAATTATGTGAGCAGCTAAGTACAATGAAACAAACTGAAGGAAAAGCTTGGTGTATACTAAAAGCTATAATACCAGCTGGGCAACGTGGGTCACGCCTGTAATCCCAGCACTTTGGGAGACTGAGGCAGGCGAATTACCTGAGGTCAGGAGTTCCAGACAAGCCTGGCCAACATGGTGAAACTGTCTCTACTAAAAATACAAAAAAAAACTAGCCCAGCATAGTGGCACGTGCCTGTAGTAATCTCAGCTACTTGCAAGGCTGAGGCAGGAGAATTGCTTGAACCCAGGAGGCGGAGATTGGAGTGACCTGAGATCACGCCCACTGCACTCCAGCCTGGGGGACAACAGCGAGACTTTGTCAAAAAAAAAAAAAAACTCGAATACCAAAATAATCCAATACAATTGTATTCCAATAATCTCATGAAAACTTTATCCTTCCCCTTACCTTATGAAATAGACTATACTAATTAATTCTCTATCACAGCATAATAGATACATAATTAGATTATAATGACCCATGGGTTAACTTTCTAAAAAGTTAAAGACCGATTAGAAATTGAGAACCTGTTACAGGAATTGATTAGTTGCCATGAAATATCCAGCTCTGAGATTCTGTTGCTTTTGCTACTTTAAAAATGTTTATTTACTGGCCTGGCACAGTGGCTCATGCCTATAATCCCAGCACTTTGAGAGGCCGAGGCAGGCGGACCAAGACCAGACTGGCCAACATGATGAAATCCTGTCTCTGCTAAAAATACAAAAATTAGCTGGGCGTGATGGCACACATCTGTAATCCCAGCTACTTGGGAGGCTGAGACAGGAGGATCACTTGAACCTGGGAGGTGGAGGTTGCAGTGAGCTGAGATCATGCCATTGCACTCCAGTGTGGGCAACAGAGCAAGACTGTCTCAAAAAAAATGAAGTTTATTTATTAAATATGTATCAGAATAAAACCCCAAGTGATGGTCAAATGTCAAAAATAACAAACGGAAAAAGATCTATAACAAACTACATCCATATTCAGAACATCACAGATAAAGATCCTAAATCTTCTGGAGAGAAAGAAAATGTTACTCACAAAGATATCTTATCAGTCAAACACACTGCTAGAAGACAAAAGTATACCATCTTCAAAGTTCTGGGAAATTATTTTGCTCTTAGAATTCTATGCTGAGCCAAACTCTTAAACAATCTATCAGTACAATAAGGATATTCTTAGGGCGTACAGTTTTCTTCCCACATACACTCTTGTCTAAAAAGGTATGCGATAGGCCAGGCATGGTGGCTCACACCTGTAGTCCCAGCACTTTGGGAGGCCGAGGCAAGAACGCCGCTTGAGCCTGAGAGGTGGAGGCTGCAGTGAGCCGTGAGCACACCACTGCCCTCCAGCCTGGGTGAAACAGCAAGACTCTATCTCAAAAAAAAAAAAGAAAAGAAAAAGGTACGTGAGGATATACTCCATTGGAAAAAGCAGGGAGATTTCAAAAAAGAGGAAGACACTTGATCCAAGAAACAGTAGGCCTAACCCAGAAGCACAATGAGAAAGAATTCCCGGATCATAGCTCTGTGCAGGTCTAGAAAACAATTTGTCCTGATGAGAACATAAAGTCAGTGAGCTCTCGGAAGAATTTCTTTTAAGAGGATTTCATTAAACAGATAATATCACATTAATAAGCTAGAAGACATCCTAGGGTTTAAAAATTTAAAACAGCATGTGTTCTTTTTTGCCAAAAAGAAAAAAAAAAGGCAAATAGGGCCATTTAAGAAGGACATGGTCCAAATATGAAGCAAAAACCATTGTGGTACATTAACTGAATGTAAGAAAAGATGACCCCTTTGACCCTGACACCAGACAGGGTCAGGAAATTAGTGGGTTTAGGGAGAAATGGAGAGTGTACAGCAGTAGCTTCCTAATCTTAACTAGGGGAAAGTTAAAAAATACTATCTGAGGTTGGCCGGGCGTGGTGGCTCATGCCTGTAATCCCAGCACTTTGGGAGGCCAAGGCAGGCGGATCACCTGAGGTCGGGAGTTCGAGACCAGCCTGACCAACATGGAGAAAGCCCATCTCTACTAAAAATACAAAAATTAGCCGGGCGTGGTGGTGCATGCCTGTAATCCCAGCTACTCGGGAGGCTAAGGCAGGAAAATCGCTGGAACCCGGGAGTTGGAAGTTGCAGTGAGCAGAGATCGTGCCACTGTACTCCAGCCTGGGCAACAGAGGGGAATTATCTTTAAAAAAAAAAAAAACCAAAAAAAAAAAAACCGAAGTCAGGTGATCGAAACCATCCTGGCCAACATGGTGAAACCTCATCTCTACTAAAAATACAAAAAATTAGCTGGGCGTGCTGGCGCACGCCTGTAATCCCAGCTACTCAGGAGGCTGAGGCAGGAGAATCGCTTGAACCCTGGAGGCGGAGGTTGCAGTGAGCCAAGTTCGCGCCACTGCACTCCAGCCTGGTGACAGAGTGAGACTCCATCTCAACAACAACAACAACAACAACAAAACACCCTAAGGTTGATATAACAGAAAATACAAATTAAGGAATATTATTCAACACATAAAGGTAAGTGATAGGGAAAAATATAATAGGAGTGAAGGTAGAAGAAAATGTATGCAAACTAAATTACTCGTCTTTTGGTGGGGAATCAATAGACAACAGAATAGTACAGTAATATCTAACATTTATTGAGTGTTAATGAAAGCAGGCACTGGTTTGGTCGATGCACTTTTACACATAATATCTCACTTAATCTTCTTAAACACCCTATAATGCTGCCATTATTATTGTGCCCATTGAATGAACTAGGAAACAACACCTGTTAAGTATTTTGCCAAGGTCATACAAGTAAAAACAAAAGCCAGAATTCCAACTCAGGCACCCAGGCTGCACTCTCTCAACTCCTTAAACTGTGACAAGTCATATTTAAACTTAAATCAGCTAAAACTGAATAAAATTTTAAACGTGGCTCCTCCGCCATCCCGGCCCCGCAGCACGGGCCAAGGCCGCCCCCAGGCCGGGCGCGAGGAGACCGGCCGCGGCGGCGACCGCAGGGCTGAGGCTGCACACACCGCCTCTCCCGACCGCCGGGAGCCCGGCGACCGGCCCGCCCTGGCGCCGACGGCCAGCCGCGCCTCCATTTCCCTTCCTGCCTCGGAGGCACCGCGGCTCCTCCGGGAAGCCCCGGCCCGGTCGAGAGAACCACTGCGCAGAGGGAGGGCGGCGGCGGCGCTGCTAACGACGCCCGGAGGAGTCCGCGAAGCTCCACCACCCCTCGCCCAGACCCAGCGCCGCACCGACCTTCCCGGGTTCCATTGCTTCTCGCAGGCCCCGGCAGCCGCGGTGTCCTCGGCCCCGGTCAGGCGCGGCCCACCCCAAGGAGGCCACCTGTAGCCCCGCACGCTTCAGCAGGCGCGTCCCAGCGCCTAGCAACCGGCAGGCAGGAGCAGCAGAGGGCCGAGCGGCCCTGCCCAGCGAGCCCTGCCCAGCGTGCCCTGCGGTCTCTCACAGTGCGCCTGCGCATTCCCGGCATTTTAACACCTGGCAGGCAGGAGCAGGGGAAGGCCGAGTGGTCGCTGCTCGGCGTGTCCGCGGCCCCTCCCAATGCGCCTGCGCTTCCCCGGCTCCTAGCAACCGCCAGGCAGGAGCAGCAGAGGACCGAGCGGTCGTTGGTCTCCCCAACGGGCAGGTGCAGTACCCTGACTTGGGGTGCCGGGGCTCTCGTCTCGCCCCAACCCGCCCCGGATTCCCGCGCGACCACACCGACAGTCGGGGAAGATAGAAAGGGAGAGCAGATCTTGGGAAGAGCTTTACATTTGAATAAGGCTTTACACTTAACCGAATATATTCCCATATGTCGTCTTTTGATAAAAACAAGCAGTAAGGTAGGCAGGACTCAACGTTGAGAGACTATTTTTGTACAACACGTAAGGGAAAATCAAAAACTCTCAGGACCCCCGAACTCCTTCAGCCAAAGGGAAAGTTAGGCCTGAAAGCCTGAAACCGCCTTTCCAAAATTATGACTAAGATAGTGAAAGATATGTAACTTAACCCACAGCACCTTGCTTCTAACCTCCAAGGTGTCCTTGTTCCTTCCTGGCAGTAGGCTGAACTAACTTTGGGAGAAACTTAGTTTATAGTTTATAAACACAGACGGTAACAGTCCTTTCCCAAAGCAGGCCTTCTTCTTGTCTGGGAACTTGATTGCCTTTAGAGGACTGATGTTAGCCACAAGATTAGAAATTATGGTTTAGAAGTCATGCAGCTGGAGGCTACAATATTCTGACCCTCCCTAAACTGCTCCTAAGATCAGTGTTTGAGATATTTTGCAGACCCTGAACTTCATGGATCAGCTGGCACCACCCAGATCAATAAACTGGCTCATCTGACCTTGTGGCCCCTCACCCAGGAACTGATGAGGGCAAGAAGACAGCTTTGACTCCCTATGATTTCATCTCTGACCAATCAGCACTCCTGGCTTACTGGTTTACCCCAACCCAAGTTACCCTTGAAAACTCTGATCCCTGAATGCTTCAATGCTTGAGGAGACTGATTTGAGTAATAATAAAACTCTAGTCTCCTGCACAGCCAGCTCTGCGTGAATTACTCTTTCTCTATTGCAATTCCCCAATCTTGATCAGCTCTGTCTAGGCAGCGGGCAAGGTGAACCCCTTCGGTGGTTACAAGCCGAGTCACCCAACACCCTCTTCCAAATGCATGACTGTTGATTCGCAAGCTGCAAGGCTCCTGCTAGCCAGGCCCCTGTGAAGGCAGGGCCGGGCACCCTCGGCCGCCACAAGTCTCCCAGGCGTAAATGTTTTGCTGTCCTGGAAACCTTTCAAGATGTGTGTCCTCCCTTAAACAAAGACATGCCAATTGTAACTCCCCTATCCCCCCGCCCCCCGACAGGCCCTGTGTGTGATGTTCCCCTCCCTGTATCCATGTGTTCCCATTATTCAACTCCCACTTATGAGTGAGAACATGCGGTGTTTGGTTTTCTGTTCTTGTGATAGTTTGCTGAGAATGATGCAAACCCTCTTCTTGCTGGGGACTAGATGGCCTTTGGAGGACTAACAAATTAGCCATGAGATTAGAAATTATGGTTTAGGAGTCCTGCAGCTAAAGGCCACAAGATTCTAAACCTCCCCAATTACTCCTACGGATAACATCACTATTGTAAAACCTAAGATTGGTGCCTGAGACATTTTCAGTCCCTGTACTCAATGGGTCAGCTGGTGTAACCCAGATGGATAAATTGGCTCATCTGGTCTTGTGACCCCCACTCAGGAACTGACTCAGCGCAAGAAGACAACTTCGACTGCCTGATTTCATCTCCAATCCTACCTATCAGCGCTCCCCACTTCTCAACCCCCCCCACCCACTAAATGATCCTTAAAACTCCAGTCCTCAAATTTTGGGGGACACTGATTTGAGCAATAATAAAACTCTGGGCCAGGCGTGGTGGCTCATGCCTGTAATCCCAGCACTGTGGGAGGCTGAGGCAGGCAGATCACCTGAGGTCAGGAGTTCGAGACCAGCCTGACCAACATGAAGAAACTCCATCTCTACTAAAAATACAAACTTAGCCAGGCGTGGTGGCACATGCCTGTAATCCCAGCTACTCAGGGGTTGAGGCAGGAGAATCTCTTGAACCCGGGAAGGTGAGGTTGTGGTGAGCCAAGATTGCGCCATTGCACTCCAGCCTGGGCAACAAGAGCAAAACTCCATCTCAAACAAAACAAAACAAACAAACAAACAAAAACTGGTCTCCCAAACAACTGGCTCTGCATGAATTAAACTCTCTCTCCATTGCAATTCCCTACCTTAATAAATCAGCTCTGTCTGAGCAGCAGGCAAGGAGAACCTGTCCGGCGGTTACAAGTGCAGCTCATAAAAACTAAGGTCTAAAACGAAAGACTGTTCAACTTCACACTGATAAAGTAGATTACAAGTGTGGACAAAAAGAATCAACTCAGTAAAATACTTGAAGAGATTTATCCTGGGCCAAATATGAGTACCAATGGCCCATGACACAGCCCCAGGAGAGCCTGAGGATATGTGGCCAAGGTGGTCAGGGTACAAGTTGGTTTTATACATTTTAAGGAGACATGAGACATCAATCGATACATCTAAGATGTACATTGGTTCGTCTGGAAAGGGAGGACAAGAAGGCAGGACAGTATGGCATCTTCAAAGTCATAGTCTGATTCAAAAGTTCTCTGATTGGCAGTTAGTTGAAAGAGTTATTATCAATAGAAAGGGCCAGGCACAGTGGTTCATGCCTGTAATCCCAGCACTTTGGGAGGCCAAGGTGGGTGGATCACGAGGTCAGGAGATCGAGACCATCCTGGCTAACACAGTAAAACCCCATCTCTACTAAAAATACAAAAAATTAGCTGGGCATGGTGGCGGGTGCCTGTAGTCCCAGCTACTCAGGAGCCTGAGGCAGGAGAATGGCGTGAACCCGGGAGGCAGAGCTTTCAGTGAGCCGAGATCACGCCACTGCACTCCAGCCTGGGCAACAGAGCGAGACTCTGTCTAAATAAATAAATAAATAAATAAATAAATGAAAAGAAAGGAATGTATGGGTTACCACAGGTTGTGGAGACCAAGAAAACCTTGGTCACCACGTGCAGATGAGGCCTCCGGGTAGCAGGCTTCAGAGAGAATCGATTGTAAATGCTTCTTACCAGACTTAACCCTGTTCCATCTGTGATTCAAAAAGGAAGGAGGGTATCATGAGGCATGTCTGTCTCCCTGTTTCCATCATGTCCTGAACAAGTTCTTCAGGTTAAGTCTGGAATGCCCTTGGCCAAGGAGGAGTGGTCCATTCGGATGGTTGGGGGTCTGAGAATTTTATTTTTGGTTTACATCCTCCCCTTGTGGCCAACATTTGTCAGAGGCAACGCCAGTGGCCACCGAGCTTTTATTTTGTTCCATAGCATTGCCTGGGTGACATGGCTGCCAGCCCTGGATCTGTCCTGTCTCTCGATAGGACACCCTATGGCCAAGAGACTTAGAGTCAAAAGACTTGTAGCCAGTTAAAACGTTCTAGGCCAAATGGGAATGGACACAGACAAGCATTCATTAACCCTTAAAAATTTAAGTAAAAAGCCAACAAACAAAAAGCCAAAGGCGTGGGTACAAACCTGACTGAACTACTGTAATCTTGGTTTTAGTTATAGACTTACAGTAATCAGTGATACAGAACATAAGCATTGATAAAACCTTTTAAGCTAAGGATTTTTAGAGACTTTTGTTATGCTGCAATGCTTTTTATGGTCATTTAGTAATCTGTCCTATAACAGCTGATAAACTTTTTTATTTTTATTTTATTTTATTTTTTTGAGATGAAGTCTTGCTCTGGTCCCCCAGGCTGGAGTGTAAGGGCACAATCTCAGCTCACTGCAACCTCTGCCTCCAGGGTTCAAGCAATTCTCCTGCCTCAGCCTCCCGAATAGCTGGGATTGCAGGCACCCTTCCACCACACCTGGCTAATTTTTGTATTTTTGGTAGAGACAGGGTTTCACCATGTTGGCCAGGCTGGTCTCAAACTCCTGACATTGTGATCCACCCACCTCAGCCTCCCAAAGTGCTGGGATTAGAGGTGTGAGCCATCATGGCTGGCCGGTCTGAACTAATTGTGTCCCTCAAAAGCAGCCCTTACAGGCGGGGCGCGGTGGCTCACACCTGTAATCCCAGCACTTTGGGAGGCCAAGGCGGGCAGATCACAAGGTCAGGAATTCCAGACCAGGCTGGCCAACATGGTAAAACCTCGTCTCCACTCAAAAAACAAAAATTAGCCAGGTGTGGTGGCGGGCACCTGCAATCTCAGCTACTCGGGAGGCTGAGGCAGGAGAAACGCTTGAAACTAGGAGGCAGAGTTTGCAGTGAGCCAAAATCAGGCCACTGCATTCCAGCCTGGGTGACAAGAGCAAAACTCCATCAAAACAAAACAAACAAACAAACAAACACACACAAACAAAACCAGCCCTTACAATCTCAGGCACCCAGCTATTCTGCTATAGTCCCTGGTCCTAGAGGGAGGGTGCTTGTATAGTCTTAGCAGCAGGGCATTGGCCGTGAAAACCAGGCAGGCACAGTGGAATGCCCAGCGGCCAGTACCGTATCGCTCCAGAATTCCGTGATTGTGGCTTCCTTGGAGGTAAAACAAGAAGAGATAAATAACATTAATAATTTGACAATCAAAAGGGTATTTGTGTGTCAGAACAGAAAAAAGAACCTATTCTGCTGGGGCACCAACTATAAATATGAAGAAAAATTATAGCCTTGTGCTGTTTACAAGATTCTTGCAGCCGAGAGATAATTTGTGATTCAATCTGCACTCAAAAACAGAAGTCACGACTGTCATCAGTAACAAGTGTTACACTTTTCATTTGACTCAATTTCTCTCTAGCTCTCCTCTTCTAACAGACATTATAGTTAAGACCAATTTCTGTGGAAAAATATGTTTTAGTCTTATTATACTTGGCCTGATTATTTGCATAAAGTGCAGCAAGAACCAATTGACTA